GCCTCGGACCTGGGTCTTAAAGGGAAGGAAGGATTCCCCTAGTAGACTTAGGAAGGAAAGCAATCCAGGTGTGGAGGGAGGACAGTCTGAATGATGCTCTACACTTCATTGGTCCCTTCATTTGGTCTTAATGTCCTAAGAAGTTTAAAAATAAAAGCACAATTGGAAGTCTGTGAATACAGTGCCTAATATGTCCATACTCTTTGACCCAGGGACTCTGCTGCTAGGCACAGATCCCAAGATAAGGAGAAAGTATCCAAGGAACCACCGAAAAACTGAGAGCTGCACTTTTGGTGGGAGCTGAGAATTGAAACAAAGTAGATGGCCCATCGAGGGGAGAATTGGCTATACAGAGGTAGGGAATGTTACTGTGCTGGAAGAAAAAGACCAAGAGGCATGGAAAGAAGGACATGAGCTGATGAAGACTGAAACGAGCAGAGCCAAGCAAACCCTCAACCCAAGACCACACAATCACCGGCAATGGAAACGCCGGCCGCCAAATGACTGACCAGGGGCGCGGCAGAAGGCACCTCTGGTGCAGGGGCAGAGGTCCAGGGTGGGACACTGCATCTCTTTTCCAGTTTGGCTGGCTGCCTTTTCTCTTCTTTTCTATTTTTTTTTCTTTAAAAACATTCTGTTATGTGAGATGGCTCTCTGATAGGGGAATGAGAGGGATACAGAAGGAAATCTAAAAGATGTAAAAATAACAAGACAGCACCAAAAATATTTTTTTAAACGAAAACATCCATGAAGTGTCCTGTAATTAAAATTACACCACTTTTTAAGAAGTGAGCACCTGCTTTAGAAAAACTGTATCGACACATTAACTGCAACCACCAGAGGCCACAGGGCCAAGTACTGGCTCTGGAGGCGGAAAGCCCAAGACTGGATCCCAGTTCTGCCAGCCTGGGCCCTTCTCCTCCCGGGCCGATCTGCTCATCAGTGAAGTGGGGGTGGGAGGAGGTGGATGAGAGGAGCTCTCAGGCTCCTTCCGACTCAAAATCCTATGAAAAGAAGTCTGTATTCTGGAAGGCATGACTGAGGAAATCACAGAGCCAACCAACCATTTTTTTTTTTATTGAAGAGGAGAAAGGTGAAGAATGAGAATCTATTCATAATGGCTGCCTGTCTCCAAGAGTACCGTGACAAAATCCAGGTAACACAATTTAGCTCACACTTGGTCTGAACCAGCCTTAAATAACACAAAAGTCCCTGGGCCCCAGTGTCCCCGCACTTCTCCTTCCTTGTCACGTTCACCAATCCCTTCCAAGCACCCCACACTTTTTTAATCTATTGCCTCCCGTGTCATCTTCCCAAGAGCACCTGAATGCTATCGCAGCAGATTCCCACAAATGCAAACAATGGGAGACAGAGCTGAGCAACTCTGCTTTTGTGGAGTGGCCCATTTCTTTGAAACTCTCCTGGGTTTCTTTTAGGCATCCGAGATAGGAACAGCGCAGCCTTCCACTACCTAAGGAGCATGTGTTAACCCAGGCAGGAGGGATCGACAACGACTTCCTAGAGAAGGTGGCACTGGAGCTGAGACTCAAGAAAAGAGGGAGTCTGCGGTGAGAAGGGCAGGGCAAAGGCACAGAGGTGGGAGATGGGGCCATGTGTTTAAGGAGTGGTTCGGCTGGGCTGAGGTTTCCAGTCTAGAGGGAAGCACTGCATAAGAATGCCAGAAGGGCAGGATGAGGCCAAACTGGGAAAGGCTTCGAATGCCATGCAGCAAGACTTCTACTGGATTCGAAGCAAGTGTTCGTCACTCTTTTTGTGGCATGGACTCAGCACAAAACTACAGGGGACTAAAAAGGAAGCCAAGGATAATAGAATGTAGAGACGAAAATGTACAAAAAAAGCAAGTTCACAGGTCCCTGCTCCAGAGCTGAGGGAGAGCCAGGGGAGCTTCTGAAGCAGCAGAAGGACCAGGCCCGCTGGGGGCCACACCGATCCTGTGGCCCTGGTCACAAGTTAGGAGAGAAAAAACAAAGGCAAGCAGGAGGGAAAATGGAATCATTTCACTCTCGCTGGACAGTTCTTGCTCAATTCCTTTCCCTTCAAGTAAAAATTAATTCTCAAGTCTGACTGCTAAAGTTTCCAAATGAGCCTAAAAAAACATAAAAAGTTGAGGAAGGACAATCCCCAAGGAGATCCTTCAGCCCCCAAGCAGTCAGAGTATTACTTAGGGCAGCTGGGTGGCCCTGCTGATAGAGCGCCAGGCCTGGAAGACCGAAGCTCAAATCCAGCCTCAGCCACTTCCTAGCTGGGTGACCCTTACTTGCCTCAGTTTCTTCATCTGTCAAATGAGCCGGAGAAGGAAATGGCCAACCACTCCAGCATCTCTGCCAAGAGAACCCCAAGTAGGGTCACGAGAAGAGTCGAACACAACTGAACACCAACACGTCAGAGTACTGCTAACAGGTCTCCATGCTTCCTCCTCATGCTCCCTGAACCCAAATCACACAGGCTTCTCCTGATGAGGCTTCTCTGAAATGAGAGGCAGCAGAGTGCAGTGGCTTCAGAGCTGGCCCCGAAGCCAGAAGGACCTGGCTTCCAGAACCGTCTCCCCTGGGCACCTCTGCAGTACCCCAGGCTACTCTCAAAGAGACTAAATTGCCAGGTAGGTGCCAGCACAAAGTGGACAGAGGAATTTTCCACACCCACAAAATCACAAGTTCACAAGTCCCTGGCCCACGAAATGTTTATCAGGATGGAGGTGGGGAACCTCCTTTCCAACAGTTGTGAAACGGTGCTGAATATTCCTCTTCCTCCCCATGGCACTCCACAGAAGGGAACCAGGGAGTAGCAAATCACTTTCTTTTTCTAAGACTAATGCTGCTTTGTCAAAGACCAACCCTGAAGAGTTCTCTTATCAAGCACCTCCCAGGGAAGAAAAACTCGTTTGAAGTCTGTTAAAAAGGAGCACTGACACTGCTGAGCACGTCCTGAAGTTCTGAGCTCCCTAGTTCATTCATCCTCCTCAGAGAGCATTCCTCATGTTGTGGGGTTTACACCAGGGGACTTCTTTGTGGGGAATCCCTCTGCTCTTGAGGAACCGAGACTATGGGCAAAAGACTTAAAAGCCACATTAGTAAATGCATCCTGATGGAATACATGAATCATCCCTGACAAGCCAAAGGAAACAAAATACCAAAATACAACCAGAAAGAGAGCCAGCAAGCTCAGCTAGAAGAAACTTGCTCTTGATTTGTAAACTTTCTAATTCTCCCTACACCAGTGAATGTAAAGTGAAATAAAGTGACCGTCACTAGACAGGACAAGGAAAACACCCTCTCCAAGCCCGGCATCAGGAGAGCCCAGCACAAGCGATGCCAACAGACCTTCTCAAAGGACGATTTCACAACGTGGGTCAGCCTTCCTACCCTCTTGACCTCCAACAATGGACTTGGGTCCTTTTCCAATGCCCTTTCCCCTCTCATCCTGATATTTGTCCTCATTTTTCAACAGCAGGCCTTTTTGCTCCCAATTGCACCTATTGCACCTGGGGGGTAAAGACTCACTTAGCCCAGTTCAAACCAAGGAGTGTTTATTAATCACCTACTCTGTAGGCTTGTACCATTGCGGCAAGGAGGTCCTGCAGTTGGGGAGACCCGGCCCCAAGTGCAGCCTTAGACACGTCCTGGACAAGGGGCACCAGCCAAAGGCCCCCAGGAGCCCCCTCAGACTAGTTGAGAAGTAGTTGTGATCTGCACCGGTAGAGGAAGTCTTCTCAGCAGGAGCTCCCCGTACCCATGAAGTCACAAAATGTCAAATCCCTTGTGAGGGGGCTGACACTCTGGAGGGGATATCTTGGGTAAACTTCTAAATAAAAGCCGAGAGGGGAGAGAAGAGAGCACAAGAAATCTGCCCATCCGGAGGGGGTGGTGGAGACTCTAAGAGGCAGAGATGTAAAGCAGAGCATCACAGAGCTAGGGGGACAGTCTCTACAAGTATCGGAAGCGGGGAAGGGAACACCGAGTTTGGAGAAGAGGACCCAGAGCAGGCTGGCTGGAATGTGGTGTGTGAAATGTGTCTGTGAAGGCAGGCAGGCTAGGCTGGGATTGTGGGAGGCTGAGAAGTCTGTTCTATCCCAGAGACACTGGAGCAAGAGTTGGTAAAGACCAACTTTCTCAAAGATAAACTTTTTGCTCCTAAATCCCAAAACAATCTGAAAGCTGCCGACGCAAACTCTCCTTAAAGCCCAGCGGCTGGAGTTTCTCCTCCCCCCCAGCCCCCCCAGAAGGGTCGATGACCCACGGGAGGCATTGCAAAGCCAGGCACGCTGATGCGTCCCCCGGCCCTCGTCCGGCGGGGATGAGTCACGGGCTGAACCAACTTCCCCAACTCTGGCCCTGGGTCTGCGATGACACCGGGACGCTCGGCGCAACGGCCCGCGGGGGGTCCGGGGCCCCCTCCCACGTCTGGATCCCAAAGCACTCGCCAAAGCAGAACAAAGACGCTTTTCTGAACTTTTTAGACGGGATCGCGCTCTTGCACAACTCTCGGGCTGCGGGACGGGACAGTGCGCTTCTCGGGGGGCCGTTCCCCGGAGACCCCTGCTCATCCAGAGCCGGGCCCGCGGGCCTCCCCCTCCCCACAGGGCAGCGCAGGGGCTGCGACCACCCACCCGGGGCGCAGAAGTGGGCCGTGCCCCCCGGGGGGCTCCACACTTGCCCAAGGGCAGACCTGACGTCCCCCCGCCCCAAATGGGGGCTCAGGGTCTTCCCACACCTGCCTCGGGGCCAGCACCAGGTGCCTGCGCCCCGCCCGCCCACGACCCCCTCCCCAGGCAGGGTCCCGGGCTGCAGAGGGGTCTCCCAGCCCAGTCGGGGCTCTCGCCCGGGGAGGCCGGGGGGAGGGGGCGGCCCGGGCTTCGGACCCCAAAGCTCCGGGCTCCGAATCCTGAGGCCGGTGTACGGGGGTCTGGCGGGGGCACGGCGAGGGCAGAAGCCTGGAGGCTGGACCAAGAACCGCGCCGGGCTGGGGGCTGCGGCCCTTACCTGAGGCGGCGGCGGCGGGTGCGGGGCAGGAGGGGCTGCGCCCCGGCCCGGCCCCTGCCCCCGCCCCTGTCCCGGCCCGGCCCGGGCCCCAGGCGAGCGGACTGGCGGCCCCACGGTCGGGGCGGGCGGCTTGGGCGCAGGCGCGGACACGGGTCCGAGGGTCCGAGCGTCCGGGTCAGGGGCCGGGGCTCCGGGTCAGGCGAACTCGGCCTTCCCTCCCTCCTCCGGGCAGCGGCGGCGGCGGCGGCGGCGGCAGCGGGAAGCCGGGAGCGGGGGCGGGGCCGGGCCGGGAGGGGCGGGGCCGGTCAGGGTCAGGGGCGGGGCCAGGACGGCGCGCTCTAGCCCAGGGGTCAGCGGGGCAATTACCCGGATGCACTCGCGGCCCCGCCCCCCCCCCACCCGGCCCGGAGGGGAGGCGGGGAGCGCAGGAAGGAGGAGGAGAGGACTGAGTGCTTGGCCGGAGGGGCGGGGCGGGACCAGAGGAAGGGAGGGACAGAAGAAGGGAGGCCGGGGCCGGGAAGGGGGCCCCCTAAGGGTCAGGCAGAACCGGGAGGGTCCCGACCTCCGTAGTGACGAGGGAGGGGGAGGGGAGCCCCGCCCTTTCCCTGATCCTGCTAGGGTGTTGGTTACCCCCCTCCCCCCGCAGTGATTGTCAGCTCTCTCTCCTGCCCCTAGGTCGTGGGCACACAGCTGTTTGCCTGTTGTGCCCTCCTTAGATTGGAAGCTCCCTGAGGGCAGGCACCAGGTTTTTGCCTTTCTTGGTTCTCCATGAGCTGATGCCACACTCTCTCTGCTATTTTAGCTCATGTCACCCCTCTAAAGCGCCAAAATGACCAGTTTGCCATCGCCTTCAAACACAGCTGCCTGCGATGCCCTCGCCCACCCATGCACCCATTCTCCACACTGCCCGCTCATCTAGAACGCTCTCCTCTCCCTTTCTCTGACACGTGCCAGAACCCAGCTCCAGTCCTCCGCCCACCCAGAAACCTCCAGTGCCTCTATCAGTGACCCGCCAGACTGGCGTCAATATCTTACATCCTTGTCAATATCTTACATACCCCAGCCAGCGCCCGGCGTAGCGCCTGGGACGCTGATTGTGTAAGTGGTTGGTATACAGGAAGTGCTTCATAAATGTTGGTTAACATGAAATGGAGTGACCTGACTGCCTGACGTCACATACGATGTTACAGCTTCTAATCCCTCCAGACACACATAATAGTGTGTATTCTAGCTGTTGATTGGCATCTCCTCCTGCTCCCAGGCTGTTAGTTCAGAGAAAACAACGACCAGGTCTTAAGTAAACTTTCTATGTCGTGAAGCATCCTAGCGCAGCGCCCCTTCATAAGTACTTGTTGAGTTAATGAGATGAATGAATGAAAAATGGATTTGCTGTCAAGAATTTACTTTGCACCTTGGTTAAGTGGGTTGTGGGTTATGAGCCGCAGCTTTCAAACTGTCTCTAGAGCTGTGGCGGCAGAGAAACTTTAGCAAAGCCAGTCCTCTCTTTATGGTTTAAAGAAAAAGAAAAGGCAATTGGTTCAAGAGAGAAGTATGAAAAATTATCTTTCCCAGCTGTGGTTAGGGGAAAAATTCCTAACCAGCCATGACGTAAGTGAAACTATAAAAGACGAAATAGATTATTTTGGTTATGCAAAATAAAAAACTTTGCACAAATAAAAGCAATGCAGCCAGAATACCATGAAAAGATGGGGAGTGGCTAAACATTCACATTAAACATCTCTGATAGAAGAGGGACTTTCAAAAATCTACAGTGAACTGATACAGATTTATAAGATCAAGAGCAACTCTCCATTAGATACAGAGTCAAAAATTCTAAGACAGTTTTCGAAAGAAGAAAACACAAACTATTAGCAACCATCTGGGAAAGCTCTCAAACTTGCTAATAATCAGAGAAATTAAAATTAAAGCAAGTCTGAGATTTCATGTAACATCTATCATATGGGAAAAGACGAGGAAAAAAATCTAGTTTTGATGGAGCTATGGGAAAACAGGCATACTCATTCCCTGCTGTTGCCACTGTCTTCAAAAATGTCTAGGTTCACCAATTCTGAGCCAATCTCAAAGCATCTATTAGGATCTCTAAAAGCTACATTGCGTAGTTTTTTGAGATATATAAATATATGTGCTTTTGTTCAGTTGTTTTCCGGTTACATCCGACTCTTCATGATTCCATTTGAGGATTTCTTGGCAAAGATACTCCAGCTCATTTTACAGATGAGGAAAGTGAGGCAGAGTTAAGGGACGTGACCAGAGTCACACAGCTACTAAGCGTCTGAGGCTGGATTTATGAGTCTTCCTGACTCCAGACCTGGTACTCTATCCACTGTACCACCTAGTTTCGTGTGTGTGTGTGTGTGTGTGTGTGTGTGTATACATATATGCTTACTATATGCCAAGCACCTTACTAAACACAGAGATTACAAGTAGAAACAAGAAAGAAAGACAGGCCCTGCCCTCTAGGAGCTTATATTCAAATGAGGAAAGATGACATAGCAGAGTCCAGAAAGGACTGAAGGACTGAACATGTCTGGCCTGGACACTTTCCTTGAAATAGACACCCTGAGACTAACTGATCAGTGAGAAGAAGGGAACTCAGGGGCAGAGTGACTGTCCAGGGTGAGGAGGCCACTAGACAATGGTGAAGAAGGCAGTCCAGAGACTTGGGAACAGAGTGCGGAGAGGAATAAAGGAGTAAACATGGCTGGCCTGTGGCCTAGGCACTTTCCTCAAAATGGAGGTTCTGGAAAGAACTGACCAATCAGAGGAAAGGGCTTCAAGGGCAGAGTCATCTTCCAAGGTGAGAAGGTTATTGGGTCTTGAAGAAATGTGGAAAGGCAAGAGCAGAGCCCAGAGGGGAATAGAGGAGTGAACATACAGCCAGTGAGCCCGGCTTGAAGGGCTTCACCATGATTCTACAGAGCTGGGTAACTTTGAGCCAACCAGGCAATGCTGAGCCCTTCGAACAGAAACAGAATTATGCTGCCTCTGGTCCCTGCATTAGAGAGACTCCAGTAATTGCAGCCAAAGAGCAATGTCTATACATAGGAAGTTCTAAAAAAGGACCTACTTTAAAATACACAAAATCAGGCAGTCTGCTTCCTCAGTGGATCCGTGATCTCCACTGGTACACAGATCCCAGCTGATCCATGCCTTCTAGTCCACATGGGTCAGGCCCATGCCTTTTCACTTAAACTCTGCTAGTATCAGAGCCAAGACCTGAACCCCATAATCACGATGAGCTGCTTTTGTCTAGAACAGGGCTTCGTTACCTTTTTGGCCAGTTTGTTGAAAACTATGGACCCCTTCTCAGAATAGTGTTTTTAAATGAATGAAATTCATAGAATTAAAAAGGAAACCAGTGATACAAGGGTGTCCCAAAAGTATCAGTGCAGTTTTAAAGTATTCAAATGTAAAACTGCACTAAGACTTTTGGGGAACATTGTATCTAAGTACACTTATGAACATATTAAAGCAAAATGTGGACATCAAGTTGAGAACCCTTGATTTCCAGAACATTTTCAAAATTTGTAGCACTTTTCATTTCCTGTTTGATAATGACTAGTTAAATGGGGTTAATCATATTTGCCAACAGATAGGAACTGAAACTCATTTCCCATTTTTTAACTCTTGTAGTTGAGTTGTGTCTGATTTTTCATATTGACCCACACTGAAATGACGTTTCTAATAAGTTTAACTGTTTGCTACTAACCCCAGGAGTCTTGAGTGGCTCATTAACTTTTTGAGTGGCTTCACGAACTTGAGCAGCTAATGGACTTCTCAGTCTAGTGTTTAAGGTCTCCCGCTAGTCTACCTACTGCCTGCTCTTCAAGTTTTATTTTGTATCATTCCCTGTCAGCGGTGGCTCCGAGAAGCCGTAGAACGCGCAGCAGCCAGGATCTGGTAAACCGTCTCAGCAGACAGGCTAAACCAGGCTGAGGTAACCAACAAGTCTCAAACATGTCAGTGAGTTAGGGGGATGTCTGCCCCAAGCATGTGAAGACTTCCTCCCGTGAAATGGGTGGATGAGAACAATTTGTTCCAGTGACCATGAAGTCGACTGAAGCAGGCTCTGTGGAACACTTAGAACTTAGACATCAAAGCAGACGCCAGGGTCATCATTTGCAAGCCGGTCCATTGCCAGTCATCTTGACTTTGTCTTGCCCCAGGAGTTCAATGACTCTGGAAGAGTCAGACTGATGACTTTGTGCAGCTCTGCCTCACTTAAATCCAATTCACACCTAAGTCAAGACATCACCCTGTAAGGTCATTGGTCCTTTTTGAAAACAAAAGACAAATAACATGGAGCTAAGTTCTCCTAGAGAATCCTAGCACCCCCTAACTGGTCCTCTCAAACAAATTGTTTTGCCTAGTTTTCAAAACAATGATGCCATGCTGGTGGAATATTCTTATTAGGGCAACGTCAATCAAAGCACTGAGTATATTCACAAACCTGTTCACTTTAACTCCCTAATACAGAGCAATATAGAACCATACAAGAAAAGTTGTAAAATTGCCCATACTTTTGAACCAGCAATCCAGCTATCTGTCCTAAATCTCAAGAAGGTTTTTTATAACAAATATGTGTGTGTGTGTGTGTGTGCATGTGTGTGTGTGTGTGTGTGTGTGTGTGCAAAATTATTCATAGCAGTACTATTTGTAATAGCAAGAAATTAGAAACAAACTTTTTTTTTGTTCAGTGGTCGAGGAATGGCAAAATTAAATGTGGTACATGAATGTAATGAAATAGTATTGAATTATAAAAAATAATAATAAAAATAAATAGCTAGTGTAGCTGCTGTCCCAAAGTCCATCAATGTGGGATTCTCTCTTTATTGGTGGAAATGAATGCACTGTCCTGCAAAAGAGGTGGAGCGGAGTTCGTGAGAGATGAGAGCTTTAGTTCTCAGTGGGTTCCATTTTGGGGGTTTTCCAAGCAAGAGTCTTCTTTGAGTGTATTTTCCAGTTGCTTCTAGGTTCAAAAGAGAAGATGGGAGAAGCCAACACCTCTTTCGGTTGCTAAAGGAAAAGACCTTGGAAAAACATGAGAAGAGCTAATAGTCTTTATCATGTCCCTATCCCCACCTTGCTACACTAGAGACTAGGGGAGTTTCCCCTTAGGTGAACTGAGTTATCTCAATCCCAATGAGATAGCTCCTTTACTGTATTTATTGTCTGGTATACACTCTCCTATGTATGCTTTCTCTAATTTCTGTTTTTGCTATGATTTGGATAAATGAGTGTCTTTGCTATTCTCTGTGTGTGCTCATTTGGGAACCGGTATTGGGGGAAAGAGGTATTGGATATTCCCCTGGATTCCCCCTTCCTCAAAGGAGAAAGTCACCAAAAGGTAGATGGAACTCAATCATATCCCCTAGACAAAAAAATCTTTGAGGGAGGCAGAACATACACCTCTAGCCTCTTCTCCCCTTACCCTTGTCCAAGGGAGAGTTTGCTTTATGTGTTGTTTCATTCAATCCCCATGACAACCCCTTACGGTAGACATTATTATTATTCCCATTTTACATCTGGGAAAACTGATTCTGAGAGACGAAGTGACCCACCCAAAGCTACAAAGTTAGTATGGGTCTGGGTCTGAGTTAGCATTTGAACTCAGATATTCCCGATTCCAAGTCCAGCACTCTAGCCACTGTACCACCAAGCTGGTGTATAAGGGGGATACGAAGAATTACAAGCAACACAAATAGGTGTATAAAGTGCTGTCCTTCTTCTTCTTCACACTTGACACTCCATCTCCTACCTGTTGCCTCCCACACAGGCTGTCCACCCTGCCTGGAATATACACACCCCTTCCTAACCCTCTGTCAGTGATCAGATCAAGCTTCACCATCTATCCCTGCCCTCCCCGTCTGCCAGCGCCTCCGCACCCAAACGGCCTCGTACTTCTTTTGTATGTATCTTGTGTATAGTTATACAAGAGGCACCATGGCATGGTGTACTGAAAGTTGGCCTTGGAGCCAGGAAATCCTGGGTTCAAGTCCTACCCTTGACATGCTGGCTTGTGACCTTGGGCAATTTACTTAACCTGCCAGTGTGCTAGAAAAACTCTTTAGGATTAGAAGTTACAAAAAAGGGACTGACTAGCATTGGTAGAGGGAGTTTTCTCACCCAGGAATTCCCCGTATCAACAGAATCAGAGGTCTAGGCCCTTTGCCTATTCTTATTCCCTTTCCTGTTCCTATTTCTCTTCCTATTCTTATTCCTTATCCCTATGTCTTGTGTATAATTATGTATGTACATGGTGTTTCCCCAGATAGAAGGGGTGTTCCTTCAGGCCAGGGATTGTCTAAATACGATGCCAGTCAAGTAAGAGCTTACAAATGCTTGCTGATTAATTGATTGACAGACAGTCACAAAAGCAGAGCCGAAAGAATGATGGACACACTTACTGTAATTAGGCAAACAAGACATTAACCAGTAAAAAACACAAGACAAGTTAAATACAGTGGATGAGGTTGGCACTTACTTTGTTAAAAGACACAACCTTCCTTTCTGTTTACAGCAGTGCCCCCTCACCCTACTACTACCTGACTGCCCAGATGAGTTTTTCCAGTATAATAAAAACACTC